AGTGGGGGGGGAAGACAAAAACCCAGGAAATATGGAAACATATGGGGAATCTGTTTATTTGTGTCTATTTATTTGTGTGTTCCAGTTCCCCTTCAGTTTTTCCCCTTCTCCCTCCGGCAGCTGGGGCGGCAGGCCCTGGCAGCGGCGCAACCTGCCATCGACGTTGGCGAAGCGACCAGCCTTTTGTTTGATGGGGCCCCATCGGGTTCAATGGATGGCTGCCTCCGCGGCCAATAGTTTCTCAGGTGCGGTTGCTTTGAGCGGGCCCGAAGATGAGCGCATCTGGGCCAGACCGAATGTTTGGAAGCCGTTGGCCCAGCTCCTCTCGGCTCCAGCCGCGGTCCGATCCATCATTGCGCATCAGCAGTGGTTAGGCCAAGCAGGCTCGACATGGCAAGGCGGGCGCTGATTCTTGCGGGCTGCGCGGCATGGCGTCTGGCGCCGTCTGGCGTCGTAGGTTTTGATGTGCACACTGGCAGGAAGCCCGAAATCTACACATTTCCCCTTGCTCGTCAAAGGGTGCGGCGGCGTTGCAGCTCACGGGGCAAGATATTTCAGAAGGCCTCTAGCGGCCTGTTTCCGTTTCCGAACGAGATGATCCCGCGGTTTCTCTGGGATTCGGAGGTGGAAGTCTTCTGGGCCATGAATCCTGAGTGTGGCTACGTGAAAGGTTTTGTACTTTCTGATGGCCCAGCCATTTCCCCACCTGTTCTCTGGGAGGGCGGCCAGCTGTGAGGGAGGGCGGGGTTGAACCTTGTGCAGCTTTGCGAGGGCGGCCAGCTGTGAGCCGCTGCACATGACCCTGCGCCACGGCGCCTCGGTCCGCCCCAAGCTGCCCGCGACGGGGAATACGCGGCCATCTTGATAGGGCTGCCCGTTCTCACTGTGAGAGGAGAAGCTACCTTTCGTACCGACTGCCAGGGAGCAGTCGACTGTTTGCTCCTGTCTCATCGCGCGTCACCTAGCCAATCCCATGTGCCATATCTGGGAGGAGGTGCATCGTGCCCTGCCTGGAGCGAGGACGGCCAAGATGAAGGCGCATGTGCCGTTCAGTGCAGTGTCGGAAGGTAAGATCTCGGAGTTGCATTGGGCTGGGAACAGGGCGGCAGATCTATGCGCTGGCCGAGGGGCCGCACAACATCCTGGCCCAGGCCCAGACACTGAGGCCCTGGATGGCCTCCAGGAAGTTGTAAAGGGTTTTGCCAAATGGGCCGCCACCGAGGAGATCCTCCTGGCGGGGGCAGACGCCTTCGATCCCCCCCCCTCCTTCATCCTCGGCGGGGATGGGGACGTTGGAGGTGGTGGGGGGCTGGAAGCGGCCAGGGGGAGGACCCCGAGGCCGCCGCCGACTGGGGACCGATCGGCGCGTCGGCCCGAGCTCTCGGAGTCTATGTGTGATGAGCTGAAGATATTCGCAGCCGTGCAAGGCCACTGCCTGCGGGCTGCGCCCGTTTTTCCTCCCCTCTGGGCTGCGCTCCCCGCCCCCCAAGCTAGGCATAGTTTTCGCGTGCCTGGCATGTGGATGCTATGCTCGGGGGGGCCTTCTTAGCCTGGCGCGAAGATGCGACCGCCGTCCGACGACAGCAGCTTGTGCTCGCAAGCTCAAGCAGGCCGCCAATGATCGGTTCCCCTGCGGCTCCCGGCAATGTTCGAGCAGGTCCATCGGGGCTTGGAGCCCCCCTTCGCCGCAGGCCCCGATGCGCCTCCTGGCGCCCAGAGCGCGCCACCTGGCCCAGGACCCTCGGCATGCGGCGCCCTCGGTGGTAATCTGTGGCATCTGGATGAGTTCAGATGTTTTTGCTCGCTCGGTTTGGCCTCAGCCAGGAAATCATCGAAGCGGGGATCCATGAGAGGCGTCTGTTGATGCAGCGTAATAGAGCGAGAGGCTCTCGTCTCAGTGGCGAGTAAGCGTTTCCCTATGTTTACTGTTCCGTCGACTGCCCCTCGCACCTCGGTACGTGGGAATGAATGGGAAGGAGGAGGAGGACGACGAGGAGGGAAGGAGGAGGAGGAGGAGGAGGAGGATTACGAGAAGGAGGAGGAGGAGACAGAGGCAGATGCGGAGGCGGAGGAGGAGGAGGAGGAGGAAGAGGAGGAAGAGGAGGAGGAGGAGAAGGAAGAGGAGGATGACGAGGAGGAAATGCGGAGGAGGAGGAGGAGGAGGAGGGAGGAGGAGGAGGAGGAGGGAGGAGGAGGAAAGGGAGGAGGGGGAGGAGGAGGAGGAGGAGGAGGAGGGGAGGAGGAGGAGCAGGATGAGGAGGACGACGAGGAGGAAATGGAGGAGGAGGAGGAGGAGGAGGAGGAGGAAGGGGAGGAGGGGAGGAGGAGGAGGAGGAGGAGGAGGGAGGAGGAGGAGGAGGAGAGGAGGAGGAGGAGGAGGAGGAGGAGGGAGGGAGGGAGGGAGGGAGGGAGGGAGGAACCCCGAACGGCAGCAAATTCACCGTGGCGGGCGCCTGGTCGGGATTGCTTTCAGGCTTCCCGCGGCCCTCACGCGGCCGAGGTCGGTTACGCGTTCGTGAGTTTCCGGGACCCCGCCGAGTGCGCGCTCTTTGTGTCGCAGTTCCACGGTGCTAGCAGCGCGGAGATGTTGCCCGGCTTCAACAGCAAGAAGGCTTCGCGTCGGGGGCGTCCCATCGGTGTGTGTGTGTGTGTGTGTGGGTGTCTGTATCTGTGTGTGCGCGTGTGTGTGTGTGTGTGTGTGTCTGTGTGTGTGTGTGGGTGTGGGTGGGTGTTTGTGTGTGTGTGCGTGTGTACTGCCGCGGTTCCCGCTGCCCTCGGCTCAAGACACATTGGCTCAAGAACGTCTGGGCTCAAGTGGGCCTCCAGGCACATCGCAAACAAAGTCAAGATCACGTTCATGGCCGACGCACCCGGCACACCCAAGCGCGGTCCAAGCAGCAAGACGGGACCGACGCCCCACAGGCAAAGGGCGCGCATGGAAGCCATCCAGGATGCCTCGAGTGGTTCGGACGTGTCGGTCGACGAGGCCGTGACCGAAAACGGAGCACCGGAGTGGTTCAAAAAGTTCAGTTCGAGGAGCGGCAGGACAAGCGTCTCATCAAAATCACATAGAAAGTCGGGCAGCTCAAGCAGTTAATCAAGAAGGTGAGGGGGGAAGCGGAGGAGGCGAAGGAGATTGCAAAGCAAGTTGAAGAGAAGGTGGAGGACTTGGAGATCGATATCACGAACTTGCGGGTGGGCGTGGAGCTGATAGTTACACAGGAGGAGGTGAAGGACTTAGTGAAAGCCATGGTGGAGCAGGAGGCGAAAGACAGTTTCAATCAGGATCCAAATGTAGCAAAGGGAGCAAAAGGAAGAGGAGGAGGAGGAGGAGCAGGACGGGGGATGTGGCGACCAAATCCACAGTCAGCGAAAGGGTCGGGCAAAGGGGACTTCACCGCCGAAAAAAGGTCGCGCGCAGTCTATTTCGGCAAGTTCCCACAAAACACCCGTGCAACCATCATCGCGGACCACCACTACCCGACCACTTGGACGGAGGATCGGAAGGACCAGGTAGAGGAGGCTTGCGCTGTCGGCAAGATTGCCGAAAGAGGTGTGGTGCGCTTCGAAACCGAAGCAGCCATGTGGAGTTATTTCGCAAACGACATGGGCACATTGCAGCATGAGGTTATTTGGGGTCAGCGTCTACGCCAACCCAGACGCTATGCACGACCCCGACCCAGGTAAGACGAAGGTGGCGCGGAAGGTGGCGCGGGTGATCATCGAGAATGCGGGCGGGGATGGGGGAGAAACCAACAAACATATTGGTACCAACCATACTCAAGGGGTGGTGTGGTGGAAGGATAGCCGAATAGCGGATTGGGATGTTCGTCAAGGGAAGATGCAATTGATGGGAGCAACGACGGAATTCCAAAACTAGTGCGACAAGTTGCTGGCGGAGGAATAGGGCGCGCTGAGCCCAAGAGAGATACCAGCGCACGTAAAGGATGATGGGCCGACCACGAAACGCTGCCCTGGGTGGGGGAACCGCATGCGAGAGCAGCCACTGGGGCCTTCGGTGGAGCTCCCTATGGGGCCACGAAGCGCTGTGCTGGGTGGGGGGACCGCATGCGAGAGCAGCCACTGGGGCCTTCGGTGGAGCTCCCTATGGGGCCACGAAGCGTTGCCCTGGGTGGGGGAACCGCATGCGAGAACAGCCACTAGGGCCTTCGGTGGAGCTCCCTATGGGGCCACGAAGCGCTGCCCTGGGTGGGGGAACCGCATGCGAGAGCAGCCACTGGGGCCTTTGGTGGACCTCCCTATAGGGCTACGAAGCGTGTGAGGGGTGGGGGAACCGCATGCGAGAGCAACCGCTGGGGCCTTCGGTGGAGCTCCCTATGGGGCTACGAAGCGTGTGAGGGGTGTGCCGAGAGCAGAGGCAAGGAGGGGGAGGAGGGAGGAGGGAGGGGGTAGCGGGAGGAGGAGACGCGGGCCACCGTCTCTTGAAAACGAGGACCCAACACCACAGGATGGTTGGAAATAATGTTCACCGACCGCTTCTATAAGGTATTTCCATTGCGTTTGCATCATCACTCCGAGAATTCGCCCAGTTGGCAGCGTATCGAGCACATAGAAGATCCCCGCACAAATAAAGCCGATTGACTTCGATGAGTTCCGGTATATCTGCAGGTGAGATTGCTTCGGTAAGTGGTATACCCGATGTTCGCAGGTTTCGTTGAGGCAAGCGCTACCGTCCAGCCCAGACGCGAAATTTCAAAACGGATTCTCTTGCGATGGTATCATTTCCATTGTTATCCAGTGTGTTACATTTGCTCGTTCATTGGGTTTGCCACTGGTTTGGGGCATGCTGGACATCAAGACCGCATTTGACGCCACTTGCCACGAACACGCGATGCAACTAGCAACTTTTTGTGCAGAACGGCGTGCACCCCAACTTGGCGTGGGCAGTGGTGCGACAAATGTCCAACATGTTCTGCACCCTGCCGCTCCCGGGAACGTCAGACTGCGACTTGTTCCCGCTCGAAGTCGGCGGCAAGCAGGGCGGAGTGTACATCCCAGATTTGTTCAACATCATATTTGAAAACGTCCTTGAGCCAGTAGTCGAAATTTGGTTGGCTCGCCAGCTCGGGTTTCACCTGGGAGACGAGGGTTGTCTCATGAGTCTATTGAATTGGGCCGACAATTCTATAAACCCGCCATTCTGAGACTACGGCCCAGTAGGCCACAAACATTTCGGAAAACATGGAGTTTACTTGGGGTGCGTCGTCTCTCGAATTCTTGGTTTGCGGGTCATGGCGGAGGGTGGCACTCGGGTGCCGCAGTTTGGCAGACGGGCAAGCAGGATTCATTTTTGTTTTGCCGTCGTTGATCACATCATTCTTCTGCGTGTGCATTTCGATTTGAATTATGAGATTGCCGCTTCAGTGGAACACCTGTTGGCAAAGGAGGAGGCGCATTATTGGGCCCACGCGGGAGCTTTCCGCAGCGGGGGCACCATCAGTAGCAAATTGAAGGCACTGTGCGTGGGGCGAGGCACGCGAGCCAACGGCTTCTGCGTGCGCTGAAACGTGGGAGCGGCAATTCCTCAGGAAAGCTCCCCGCTTGCGGCGAAAACCCGGCGAGGGTGCAGTGGCTGCCAGCGCCCGGGCTTCTGCCTCGATGAGCTTCTACACACGCGGCCCCCGCTCTTCGCGCGACAGGGACGCCGACGGAGGTGGCGCAAGAGGGTCGGAGGGCACCAACTATACATCCACACCGATCCTGGCCCAGGGCGATCCCGGGCCAGGATCGGTGTTGGCGTATAGCTGGTGCCTTCCTGAGAGGGGGCCAGTGCCACCGCAGGCCACCGCCGCGCCAGCGCCGCCGTGGCCAGGGCGAGCCAGGCGGCCCACGTCGGCCCGCGCGTCGTCCAGCCCCGCCTCCGTCCCGAACTCCCCCGGGAGCCAGCGGGCCGCTGCGCGGCAGGCGCGGGCCGCCCGCGGGGCCGCCGGGGCCAGGGGCTACAGTCGATGAGCAGCGGGAAACCACTCCCCAGCCCCCACAGCTATGGATCTTACACGTCGGCGTTTTGCATTTGCGGCGAGTGGGCGTAAGCGTAGGCGCCCTGTCGGCGAGACCATTGCCCAGCTGCGGCAGGGGGGCCCAGCGCGCGCGGCGACGTCCTGGGACCGCTCGACGCGGCCGCGCCCGCGCCGGCGTTCCCAGGGACGGGCAACCTTCCCAAAGGTACCCCTGCATCTTTGCCTCTTCGGTCCATCCTTGGCCAGTTCCGTTGGCCGCGCCATGCTCGAGATCCTTGTCGCGCATCCTTGTGGTGCGGGCCGACTGTAGCCCCCGCGCCCTCCAGCTCGAAGTCCGCGCCCTCCACGCCGCCTCCAATAGGAGCATCAGCGGCCGTAGCAGCGCCGCGGTCCGCAGCGCCGCCGCTCCTGCTCCCCCAGTGGGCCACTTCCTCCGCCTCGCGCAGGCTGCCGCGTCAACGGGACTGGCGCATCCCACAAATAAGCGCGCCGAGGGGCGGCCTGCGACACGAGGATTGAGCCGATGGGCATTAGGAGGAGGAGTGTGCTATCCACGAGACAGTTGCCACATACAATGAAAAGGTAGTACTTCCCATGGTGACCACGCGGGTTGTTTTTTTCACCCGCTGGCAGAACAGGACGGGTGGGTGTGGACCATGTCGAGGATCGGTGTTGCATTTTTGGGACGCGCACCCCACATAATTTTATTGACGTGTTTTCGTGCGTGGCGAAAGAAACGCGCAAACGACGCTTTACGACCCCATTATCGGCAATCACTCTCTGGTGCAAGTACGAGCCTAAGGGAAGAGGGGGAGGAGGAGGAGGAGGAGGAGGAGGGCCAGAGTAAACAGCACATGCATAAGCGATGCTGGAAACACCCTCCCGTCCCAAATCCCTTCCCCATCCGCCCCTACAAACTTTCCTGCTCGCTACAAGGAGCGCCTCCTTGAAATGCCACTACAGTCGACCTCGCCGTTTTGGCGAGGGGTCATATTTGGAAAGGAAGGGCCTTGCATATCGTACGCGTACGTAGTCAGGAGCGCGAACATGGATCATACAGTGAAACGAGGTGTCGAGCGACATCCCCCGTTCAAAAAGGACCGCTCCCCATTCGTGTATTTGTCGCATGAGTTTGCACGTGACGTCATGAATTTCGACGGAAGTTTAGCGCACAAGTTCATGTTAAGAAAAAGCCGCCATGGATTCGTGCACCTCTACGCGCGTTGAAACTTCGGGTCTTCGAATTAGCCGAACTCACACAGGCGATACCATAAGTTTGAAAAACAGCCGTGCTCCATCCAGCTAAACGTTCCGTTACAGAACGGATGCTCGCGGCGCTGAGGCGATAACCCCATTTTGACAACGACCACTGCTCAATAGTTGAAGCCAACTGCAAGATGTTGAAACCCATCTCCGCGGCGCTAGAGCGATAATCCCACGTTGAAGAGAGCCGCTCCCCATCCGTGAAGCTGGTTTGCAGGCGTTTAGAAAGAATGCGCGCGGCGCTGAGGAGAAAACACAAGGGTGAACGCTACCACCCGTCCATCTCAGAATTTGCTACACATTATTATGATAGTGTTATTTTCTTTATTATTAGTATTATTGGCATTATTCGTATTATGAGTATTAGTAGTATTATTATTAGTAGTAGTAGTAGTAGTAGTAGTAGTAGTAGTAGTAGTAGTAGTAGTGGTGGTGGTAATAATCGTAGTAGTCGTAGTAGTCGTAGTAGTAGTAGTAGTAGTAGTAGTAGTAGTAGTAGTAGTAGTAGTAGTAGTACTAGTAGTAGTAGTAGTAGTAGTAGTAATAGTAGTAGTAGTAGTAGTAGTCGTAGTAGTAGTCGTAGTCGTAGTCGTAGTCGTAGTCGTAGTAGTAGTAGTAGTAGTAGTAGTAGTAGTAGTAGTAGTAGTAGTAGTAGTAGTAGTAGTCGTAGTCGTAGTCGTAGTCGTAGTAGTAGTAGTAGTAGTAGTAGTAGTTAGTAGTAGTAGTAGTAGTAGTAGTAGTAGTAGTAGTAGTAGTAGTAGTGTAGTAGTAGTAATAGTAGTAGTAGTAGTAGTAGTAGTGGTAGTATTCGTAGTAGTAGTCGTAGTAGTAGTAGTAGTAGTAGTCGTAGTCGTAGTCGTAGTCGTAGTCGTCGTCGTAGTCGTCGTCGCAGTGTTTGTATTCTTAAAGTTTACTGAAGAAAAAACGAATGCGTGCGGCGCTAAAGCGACAACAGTATCATGAAAGCGCTTTCACCTTAGAAGCTGCTGCAGATGTTCAAGACGAGTGCGCGCGGCGCTGAGGCGAGGGCACCATTTTGGGGAACGAAGCCGCTCTCCATCCGCGAAGCTGGCTGCACATTTTGAAAACGAGTGCGCGAGGCGCTTCTGAACGAGAGCATCATTTTGAAAAGGAGCTGCCCTCCATCCACGAAGCTGCTGCACACCTCGAAGGCGAACCTGCGCGGCGCTGGGGTGAGAGCTCCGTGCTGAAAGCCACCCGCCCTCCATCCGTGAAGTGGCTGCAAGGAAGTCTGAAGACGAATGCGTGCGGCGCTGAGGCGAGAGCTCCATGTTGAGGCTCACCAGCCTTCCTCGCTGCAGAATTTCAGGCCTCGGGATCGTCAGTGATGAAGAGGTTTTGAGCGAAGCGCCCTGCCCGCCCTGCCGACACGTCCTGGGAGATGGCCAGGGGCTGAGCAGTTCGTCTGGGGAAAGCAAGGTGGAAACCCACGCCAAGAAACACCCTGCTTGCCTCCAGTGTGCCCTGGGTTTCCGGGGTTTCGATGGTTCTGTTCTGGAAAGCGTGACGCTCCTACACCAAGAATCAGTGGACGCCTTGGTTTCTCAGCGCTGGGTTTCTTGTAGGTGGTTTCTTGTGGTCGAGCTCCTGTTGTATTCGCACGGAGAGAGCACGGAGGAGAAGCCCCTCCCGTGCCCCCCGCGAGGTGTGTCAGGTCTCCCCTGCTCGCCACCAGGGCTGCAAGGAGAACGTCCGTCGCCTGCAGGCGCGCCCGCCTCCCCCTCGCCGCAGGGGCAAATCCTCGTCTGCCTCATCCTCTTCCTCGTGGGCAGCCTGTGGGAGAAAACACAAAGAACACACACGTGGGGAAAAACACATGTGTGTGTGTTTTCCCACGTGTGTGTTTTTTTTGCCGATAAAACGGGTGTGTGTGTGTGTGTGTGTGTTTTTCCCCCCACGTGTGTGTGTGTGTGTGTGTGTTTTCCCACGTGTGTGTTTTTTCCCCCTCGCCGCATGGGCAAATCCTCGTCTTCCTCATCCTCTTCCTCGTGGGCAGCCTTGGGGGAACATGGTTTACAGTGGGGGTGCGCATCAAGAAACCGCTTGCTGTTCAGAGGGGTATCCTGGGTGTTTTCGCTCCGCGCGCTGCGAGGTGGCTTCCCGCAGCCGTCGAAGAAGCTGCTGCGTTCAGGGTGCTCCGGGTTTCCCCTCAGATGTACCTCGCGCGCGGGTTCTCAGGGTTGGGTTTCTTGCGAGGGTTTCTTGCGGCCGCGCCCACACTGTAGAGGGGAAGTTTTCGACGGTTTGAGGGTCGAGCTTCGAGGTGTTCTAGCGTTTTCGTCTGATCTCGACGGTTTTCCAGCCTCGGGATGACTTCCAGTAGCTACGATTCGCCGAGAGCGTTCTGGGGTGTCTGGTTTTTTCGGAACGCCCGCCAGAAACCCGAGTCATGGCTCGATCGAGGCGACGATTGAGAAGCGAGACTCCTCTGGGATCCCATGTAGGCTAACATGGCCCGAAATTGGCTTTGATTTTGTTTTATATTGGTTTACGCTTTCGCATAAAAAAAAATCGACTCGCGCTCTCAGGTAGGGAATCGTATCACTAAATCATAGCAAGCAGTATTTACGATAGGAAGGAAGGGTTGATTTGAGGCACGCTTGACGGGGGGGACCCGCGAGGAGGTCCGGGTAGTGCAGGCCAGCGTGAGCGGCAGCCTCAGTAGGCATCGTGGCTCAAGCGCCGAGTCGAGCTCGACGCAGGGTGGCAGCTCTGTGCCCGCGCCGCCCCCCATGCCAGGGCCGTGGATTTCGGCTGCGCTGGGCCCGGAGTGCGCCCGGGGCTTGCTCCTGAAGGAGGGCAGCTTCGTCGAGGCTCGCTGCTACGACGACGATGGCGGGGACCAGGGCACGGCCATCCTGCGCCTGGAGGGCGACGGGAAGGTCGGCGACACGGTGCGCGCGCGGTACGTAGCCGCGAGCGACGACTATTACGCCCATTGGGCGGCTCAGTAAGAGGTGGTGGACCATTACCAGTTTTACTTTTACCGCGTCCGCCGTACCCGTTGCCAGGCGACCGACGTCACCGCCCACACTAAGACGTTCCGGGAGGTGTCGGCCGCGGATTTCGGGAAGGGCGGCATCAAGTGGGTCAAGGGCCCCGCCGCGAAGGCCGTCGAGAAACCCCTCGAGGGGCATGGGCGCGGCGGAGGGGCGGCGCCCCACGGGCATGCCTCACGCCGGGGCGGCGCCCCAGGGGCAGGGCCGCGGCTCGGCCCCGGGAGGAGCTGCTCGAGCCAGGCGAGGCCAAGCTTGAAGACCGCCGGGCGGACTGCTGGGAGCGGAAAGACAGCATGGCCGTGGGGGGGTCTCCGCGGGGTCGCAGAAGGCGCGAGCGCCCGTGCACCCAGATCCCCCGGGGCCGCCGCGCAGGCGAGAAGCGAACCAGACGGTCGCGGCGAGGACGCCAGGACCCGCTCGGGTCAGTTAAGCGCGGAGATCGCCGGGAGGCAACCCCGGCACGGTCCCGCGCGAGGACAGAGGAGTGGCCCGCCGCGGTTGATCCCGGAGGGGCCGCGGGTGTTCGGCCGCAAGAGCCTAAGGAGCCGCCTAAGAGGCGACAGGAGAGCCCAGATGACGGCGACGCAGGCAGGAGGAGCCAGGAAGGCAGCACGCCGAAGAGGAGGTGGAGCTATGGCCATGAGAGGGCCAAGAGGAGGAGGGCCAGGACGAGGTCGCGAGGGCCGCCGAGAGAAAGGAGCTACGAGAGGAGCAGGAAGAGCAGGTCCACTTCGAGGCCGCGAGGGCGCTGGAGTCGGCGGCAGGACATGAGGTCCTCGCGGACGGATTGGGGCCCTGTTTGGGCCAGTGCGCCAATGGGCAAGAGGAGCCAGAGTCCGAGCTATGCTTCGAGTTTTCGCTCAGCCTCCCCTTCGCGCGGGCAGCTGTCTCATTGTCGCCCGCTGGAGTTTGCGGCGCGTCATTCAAGTCGGCTAGCCCAGAGGCGGCTTGCAAGAATGCGGGCTCTGTCCGATCGCGGAGGGGGGGCGTCCACTGCGACGGCCTCAGAGGTGCAGCAGGGAGCCGCGCGCTACTGGCTCGCGACCCTCCAGCCCCAGAACCCCAGCACGGGGCCCCAGAGCTCGCGGGCGACCGAGACAATGAGTACCGCATTGGCTCTTCTCGCCGAGAAGCGCCGCGGCGAGGCGGCGAACCTTTTGGGCTCGAGGTTGAAGGCCATCCAAAGGGCCGCCAATGACGGGCACTGGGAGCAAGCCGCGCGGCGCGGGCTGATCCCCCCCGACGCCGCGACGCCGTTGGACTGGGCGGAGGACAAGATGCTCGCGCAAGAGCAGCGCTTGCAGACGCAGCTGTATCCCAAGGAGCGCAACAACCACCATACCCACGACAGCCAGAACTGCGGCAACCACGGGCACGGCAAGGGCAAGAGCGACGACCTGGCGCCAGTTGCGCCAGCGCAGGGCTCGCTCAGCCGCGCCCGGCAGGGCGCGCCAGCTGTGCCGGCGCAAGGCGCGCGCAGTCGTGCCTGACAGGGCGCGCCAGGCAGGGCGTAAAAGTTGTGCCAATGCGGGGCGCGCTCAGCCGCGCCAGTCAGGGAGTGCCAGTTGTGCCCGCGCAGGGCGTGCTCAGTCGTGCCAGACAGGGCGCGCCAGGCAGGGCCCCCCAGTTGTGCGAGCGCAGGGCGTGCTCAGTCGTGCCGGACAAAGCGTGCCAGTTGTGCCAGCGCATGGCGTGCTCATTCGTGCCAGACAGGATGGGCGAGGCAGGGTGTGCCAGTCGCGCCGGCGCAGGGAGTGCTCATTCGTGCCAGGCAGGGCGCGCCAGTCGCGCCAGCGCAGGGTGTGCTCAGTCGTGCCAGACCATGCGTGCCAGGCAGGGCGCGCTCAGTCGTGCCAGTGCAGGGTGTTCTCAGTCGTTCCAGACTGGGTGTTCCAGGCAGGGTGCGCCAGTTGTGCCAGCGCAGTGTGTGCTCAGTCGTGCCGGGCAGTGTGCGCCAGTTGTGCCAGTGCAGGATGTGCTCAGTCGAGCTAGACTGGGTTGTGCCAGGCAGGGCGCCCCAGCTGCGCCTGCTCAGTCTGCCGGGCAAAGCGCGCTCAGTCGCGCCGGTGCAGGGCGTGCTGAATCGTGCCATACAGGGTGTGCCAGGCAGGGTGTGCCAGCTGTGCCAGTGCAGGGTGTGCTCAGTCGTTCCAGACTGGGTGTTCCAGGCAGGGTGCGCCAGTTGTGCCGGCGCAGCGCGTGCTCAGTCGTGCCGGGCAGTGTGCGCCAGTTGTGC